GAACAAATAAAACACTGAAAAAGCCAAACAATAAAATTTTTAAGTTATCAAAGTGACTTATATCATGTTTAACCTGCGTAGTGAAAGACAGCAGGCGTTTGATTATTATTATTATTATTATTATTACTTGGTATATGCAATGTAAGTGTATGCACTTCACGTTTATTAACTTCAGATCCCTGCAACAAGCCCAGGTCCCGTTTAGTTTGGTGATTTGGACTAGTCCATTTCACAGCTGTTGTTACATTTTTGTCTTTATCTCCTGTACAGGCCAACGCAATCTATTTGCGTCGTCAATCTATTTGCCGTTTCAGGTTGTAGTATCACACAACATTTTCAGATGTAAGAGAAATAAAATGAGTGTTTCGTAATTCATTCAATTTATTGTCTTTATTTATAACTGGCATTATTGTTTCCTTCTATTATAGAATCTTACAAGAAAGAGGCAAAATTGTATTCCATTAACTTTATTAGTTCGTTCCATTATGCTTTATTAGCTGCTTCGGTGAAAAACAAGTCAACAATGCAAAAAAACAACAAAAAAATCATATCAAAACAACATACTGGAAAACAGTTATTCATCACTTCCTTGCTTAAATACAACCCTTGGGCACATATATGCAGGATGTTTCGTGGCTGTTTTGATATCGCTCTCTCTCTTAACTCGGTCTGACCCAGGTTGATAGAGGTGCCCAGTGTGGATCGCATTCCAGCATTTTGTAGGCTGGTTTTCCTACAAAGCACAACAAACATTAGCCCACAAAGCCACAGTGAACAAAGCAGCATAGAGCAACAAATTATATTCAAATCTATATAAGACTTATTTGTAACCTACATCAACAATTTTGTTATGATAAATTACGTAATAACTGCAACAGAAGACTTACCTTTGTGGAAATGCTTGGAGCAGACTAACGTGTGAGCTGGAGTGTTCTGGGACGTTATATTTGTTATATTATATACGTTATATTTGGTCTTTGAATGGCTGCAATCCAGGCCATCCGTTGCCTCTTTGTTACTTCGGAAACACGGCTTAAACAATTTCTCTTCCACGACGTAATCCGATAAAAAATGATCTCTTTACCCGTCGGCTTCCTGTGGCTGTCATGAGACCGGCTATTGCAGTTAATAATACAACAGCTTCTTGACATTCTTTGTGTTTCTTTTTATCGCTGTGTAACTGTTTTTATGTGAAAGCCTGCATGCGCTTGTACCTCTTGCCACTCGTACCTATAATCCTTTGCGGTTGTACCCCGGAAATGACGTCACATTTTCACTCGTGTCATCATTGCTTACTTCCTTATTGTAAGGTGGAGGTGGTCAACAAGTACAAGTACCCCAGGCTGTGGGTGGACAACAAACTGGACTGGTCATGCAACAC